ACCTTATTAATCATTGAATTACATACATTTTATCCCATTGTAATATAAAAATACAACTTTTTTCACAATTTAGAACTAACTTTTTTAACCACTTTAAGAATACTCTACACACGAATTTCGTAGCAAATAATTGCTTTATGTGCATCATTTATAAATCGAAACTTATAACTTTGGTTTATAACATAATTTATAAACCAAATCTTTAATTAAAGTAGCAGAAAATGTTTTATTATAGTAGGACGTTTCAAAATGAAACTATTCGTAATAATAAGGAACTTATTGCATTGAGTACCGCCGTCAAACAGAACTAAAAAATAGGCTAATAATTACGTATAAGGTAATAACTTAGTTGCATGCAATGACTACTCTTGAGTTACCTGATTTAATTTCAATCAAGGACTAAATCACAGTTGCAATCAAATCATCTAGTATCAAAAGCCAGTAAGAATATACTTAATATTTTTTTAATAATCCTAGATAATTTATCTTAAATTATACATATAAAAGCTAGAATTAATGTTCATATTGTAAATGTAAGTATTAAAGGAAATAATAATTGTTAGTAAAATGCATGTTTACCTCCAGTGAGAGTCAGCGTGGCAAACACATATTCGGCTTCAGTCGCTCCAGCTTCATTATGGGCGGACATCAAAAGGTTGTACCAGGTCGCTGGATTTAATCCGGTTATTTCGAACTGCTCATGCCTGGGATCAAGATTACTAGATACGAGGACCCATTCGCGTTGTCCCTTTGACTTATACTGGACGACGAAGAATGATATTGGACATCCTCCAGTTTTCCAGGCATACAGGTTCAATGTCACAAATGTTGTATTGATGCTCAAAAGAGAACTCTTGTCTGGAGCTATGGGAGCTGAAAATCCAAGCAGAGTAATGAATCAAAGAACAATTAAATTTGACTGCAATTATTAATACATTCAAAATAATTATTTAATCAGTATTTGAAAACGAATTATCCTGTTTATTGCCTTCATACTGTAGCCCCTATATTTGAAAAATATTTTATTATCTTTAATAAGGAGTCGATAAAATTAGGATGGAAATATTTTTATTGATTTTCTCTATTTAATTATGTAATTATAATTCAATAGATAAGCCTCAGACCTTGCATATTCAGGTATAATAGGATTTTTATAAATAGCATTTCCTTATTTTTGTTTAATTTCTCTAGAACGTGATTTCCGAAATTTTTTGTAATATTTATAACAGCATTACCATAAAATGTGGTACCGTAGCGTTATCAGTAGTCATAATTAAAGGCAACCTTTTTATAACTAATTTCGTTTAACTTTTTATAACTAATTTTTAAATTTCGTTTAAAACTTTCGATCTAGATTTGATTGATTCTTTTCAGGAAACAAAGCGTATCCGCGTCATTTAGCATGAGAATACAATTTTGTATATGAGGATCGGCTCCTCGTAAAATTTTAAATGACTGGAAAACTTAACTGATTTAAAATTTAAAAAAAAATCTAATGTGTACACCACGTGACTACCTTGTACGGAATATTAAATTATACGCATTTTTCCTTCTTTTCATTTAAACTTATTTGGTAAAATATCATTAGCGATATATTACTCATTCATTTAATTCAGTCCTCTCTACACGGCAAAAATAAACAAAAAATCAAAATATTTTTTTTTAGAAAATTGAAAGATATAGAAAAACATAAAACACCACAGTTAAAACTATGAAAAAAAATTTTTTTTTTCAATTAAAATTTCAGTTTCTGAGCAAAAACAAGCAATTCGGGCAGCAAGCAAGAAGGCAGATTTTTCGGTGGAAAAAACTAAAAGTTTCTTTTTGCTCCCACTCGACAAAAAGGCGCTGAAGGTACAGAAATACTTTATACACTATTCCGCTAAGTTTCAAATGTAAACAAATAAGGCTGCTGTGGTAAAATATTAGGCTTAGCCGCACATAACAACTCTCGAATTGTTGATAATTCTACACCTATTGCATTAATTAAAGGCGTTAAAAACCTCAACCGGAAGCTATGAACAAAATAATCCAATCATTTTGAAAGCAAAAAATGCCCAATTTACAAATTTAGAGAATTTTCCCCTCCGCAATTTTTAAGGTGAATTCCCAATGGATGAGATTAGAGGGTCTTTCACTCCTCTTTCCCATCCACCAATCTCTCGAGAAGAGTTTTTGCACTAAAATATTTTAAGTCCCTCTTCCCACATGCCACAGAGACACTCTATATTACGAAAATCCTTGACTTCTCCAGGATTAGAACTTGGTTTCAAATATATGGTAGCCAGTTTCCCTGCTGACATGACAATAAGACAGTGTGAATTCAACTAATTTAACTCGGTGCACTACAAAGAAGTAGGAGAGAATTATGCTCTAAAAATAAATCAACAAAAGTTTAACATAAATACAGAAAACCAAATACGCAAATCTAAACTTATATATAACTGAAGGAAATTGGCTTTGTAAATGTAAAATAAATGAAAGTCTACTGGGAAATGTAAAATGTGTGAAAGTATCGAAATCTTTTAATTACTTTACGGATAATATATCATTTATAGATCAGTAAAATTTGTGTTCCTACCGGATGATTAGCAATAAATAATAAATATAAAATAAAAAATAAAATAAATATAAAAAATATAAATATAAAATAAATCATTTACCAAGGTCCATTGGCAGCGGTGCAAAAATGAATTTGAAACATTTACATGTCAATATCTTGGTAGGTAAACGAACAGGGAATAGTAACCGATAAACAAATTCAAAATAAATATCACTAAAGTGCTAACAAATTATTACTTGTAGATAAATTTTCAGCTTAACTAATACCACAGAAATATAATGTAATACACCATTTTCCAAAATCCATTTTCCAATCTTCTTTGCATGCTCACGTAACGATGAAGAAACAATATATTTTCCTTCCATATTCTGCAGATTTATGCTTTCCGCGATATATGACTTACCCGAGAATTCAAACAGAGTTATTTTTTCATAGCTCCACGTCAGGCATTTCAAGTAACGTCTAAGAATGCTTATTTGGATGCTAGCGGCAGGCTTGATTTATTCGCCTAGCAAGCTGAAGTCTGCTAAAAAAAGAAAAATGGATCCTCGAAGATTAATCAATGTAATTTCTTTGCAGCGAAATGAAACGCATATATCATAGCGAAAATGTCACATTATGCCCGAAAATATTTGATGAAGTGCATTGTCTAGAAGATATATTTTGTCCCATATTTATTCATCTAAAGAAAAGCGACTTGGCACGATTAATAACTTCTGCTTAGAAATAATGCTTTGGTTTCGTATTAAATGTTTATAAATTAATTATTTATGAGAAGGCAATGCTGGATTATGAACACAAAATTGCGACTTACGGATGAGAAAAAGTTTTGTTACGAAAATGAATGATAAATTAAATTTTTCCCTTTTCAGCTTATAAGCATTGATGATATATTTTTATTTATTTTAACATATTTATTCGTTATTATGTTTAGTTGTTTTGATAGAATTTCTCAAGCTGCTGGACAATACGTTCTGAAGATATAATTTTCTTTTTTTCCGATCAGAATAACTATTTCCTCTACGTTAGCAAAATTTAAATTATAACTAGATTTACAAGTATAGGAAATTCATGAGTTAATTCATTCTTCTTTGTTTAGAAATGTCTCATAAATTACTTTTCTCATATTATCTGACATTTTTATCTTCTGTTACCAGGGTCGGATTTAGATAAGATAAGGCCCTAAGCTATTTGAGATATGTGGTCCTTTATAAATCTGTTATACTATATTTTAATTTGGGGGGGAGTGGGCTAAGCTATAGCTTGTGTAGCTTATATGTAAATCCTGCACTGTCTGTTACATGTTATATGCTCTTGCCTTCTCAGTTACGAAACTTTTTCAATAACGAATTAAAACAGATACTTGGCGTCATCTCATTACCATTTGAATAACGTTTTAAGATTTCAAAGGATAAAATATTTTCATGAGGATGATTGCTGTTTTCTCACCCCGCGCAACCGGGGTATTGGTTAGCGAAGCTGACTGCCGTACCGAAGGGCCAAGGCTTGAATCCCGGAGAAGATATGGATGCTTGTAAATGTATAGAGTTTGTGAGGATTTGAGGCACTCTTAATATGAGGCGGGTCAAAAGTCCTCTCGAGAGGTTGATTTTAGGGAAAGAGGGGTGAGATAGCCTTGAACCTGTTCTCTCCCGCGGTGCTCTCCTTCAAAATTGGGGGCGGAACTGAGCAAAGCCGTACTGTCACCTATATAGTGTCCAAGACTCTTGTCTCCTTGCCACGATGGCTTTCCTGAGCTTGCTGTGATCGAAATAAGTCAGTTCCAGGGTTTCATCATTGAAGAGCTTGCGAGAGATTAGTTACAACAACTTTGCCGGGCAACTGGTATAATGGTTAGCGTGCCGAAGAACCCTGGTTCGAATCCGGGAGAAGGCATGGGTGTCTGTAAACGTATAATGTCCGTGCGGTATAAGGGCACTCTAAATATGCGGCGAGCCGAAAGTCCTCTCGAGATGATGCTGGTGGGGACAGACCCTCGGACCCATCCCAAGGGGTGCTCTTCATCAAAAATTCGGAGCGGAATTGAGCTAAATCGCACTGTCACCTGTATGGTGCTCAAGGCTGTTGCCAACGACAGGTGTAAACTTGCGCTCCTTGCCACGAGAAATTTCGTAGGCTTGGACTGACAGTAGGTCAGAAAACTGGGCATTACTAACAACAACAACAGTTAAACAACAATTTATACTCTCAAAAAAATAAATATATGAAGGTTTAGATGTTAAGAACTTTATTAAAACTATTCTATATCTTATATTAAACTTATTCTTTAATAATCCTTTAAAGTAATTTAGGCCGCATGACTTTCCAGCTATAAGTTTTCTGATCGGACTCTTCGTCGCATTAGTCATAGCTGAACTCATTTCAGTTAGCGTTCATTAAGAGAAAGGCGAGCTCTCGGTGAGGATATTCCTTCCCAGCCAAATATTTCTCGAATATTTGTCATAATTAATAAACATGACAAATAGTCATGAACGTTGGTCTCAAAATATTATTTTAAATTGTTTGATAAGATATCCTATAATACGTGATACGTTGAAAGTGATAAACAAGACGATTAAATTATGCTTCTTTTTATTAACATTTGAATAAAATTTCTGAACGCTGAATAATCACTTTCATATTCATATTCTTTATTTTTTATAAACTTAATTTGCAAGTGTGATAATTTTATTGAAATATTTTTATACCTGTGATTATACGGCTTGGTTGCATGAAGTTCTTCGTTATGTGTAACGTGAACACTATCCAGTTTTTTTATGAAATCCTCAGTTACTAAATTTAATTATAGTTAATTTTCAGTTACTAAATTAAACTCAGTTAAAAACAGTTACTGAATTTTCTATCATTTAAAGCTACAGTAGAAAAGAAGATTTAATAGAATTTTAATCGAAAATAAAAAAAAAAGAAAGCTTTCATCTGCATAATCTAAATGTATTGCTTCATAATTATTCTTAATTAAAAACAGCAATATTTGAAACTATGAAATCATGAATTAAAAAATTGTTTGTTACTTAATTCAAAATTTCTATCTATCATTTCTTTGAGCGTGTTTGATGTTACCTGAAATTTGCGTCAATTAATTCTTTTTTGCGATTAGATTATTAACCTTTTAACTGTCAAGTTATTTTGATGATTTGGGTGCATAAATTGTCAATTTTGTTTTATTTCAAAAATGAAATGTTTGCCTCGCAGTCAAAAAAAAAAAAAAAATCAAAAAAATGCCGCGCACTTTGAACTTTAACCTCTATCCTTTAAAACAATAGTTTTTAGCCATCTGTTGAACTGAAGC